TTGTTTAGGTCTGTGACAAGGGAGCAAAGAAAATATGTGACAATGCTTGGAAAAGGATTTGCAGAGACGAGTTGAGTTATCTCCTCTTTCTACCAGTATTAGGCCTGTCCAGCATAGGCCTCTGATAACCTGCTACTACCTGAGACCTACAGTAGGGTAGGCTAGGCCTACTATCTACCCTTAGGAGGCCTAGCTCTAGGCCTTGAATAAATATACTAAAAAAAACTACCGTATGTTTATATTCACTCTTTTCATTCATTATAGAGTTCTGGGAATGTTAATCCTGAGGATTTTATCTGATTCGTCTCACTGCCCTTTTCCTCCGTCTATCAATGCGATAACAAAATCCCTTCTCTGTTGCCACCCGCCATTTAGAGTTTTTGCGCACGGTCAGCAGTGGGAACAGGCAAGCGAATCATTGGAAGCGAGACATTCTTTACAGAAAGTCAACTCTTGTGAAATTTGCGCGATTCGCTTCGCTTCCTGCGTGACGCTCGACGCTTTCGCTTGACAAGTTTAGTGGGAACCGGCCTTTAGCAGCGCTTTTGTATTAATGCCTTTTCACACGTAGTCTTAGCTATTGTTTAGTTTTCAACCAATCACCAGCAAGTCTCACCAACCAAAACATAAAAGTATATCATTGTTTTGGGGTTTCTGCAGGTATTATTCTCCTGAAGACGATTGTAGCAACTCAATCGAAACGTCGAGATATTCTCAACCAACAACAACAGTTATTTACAGAACTATCTACGTGGTGTACCGCAAACATTAAAGGCCAACTCAGACAGCGTCGGCCGACGCAGCCCGACCCGATTTATCGTCGGGGACAGTCTTGAGCAGTCGGGAGAAATGTTAAACATGTTTAATATTCGACTGCCCCCGACGCACACCATCGCGCCTGCGTTTAACTCACACAGACCCGAGGCGACAACAAATCGCGTCGGGCCGCGTCGTACGACGCTGTCTGAATTGGCCTTAATACGTATTTTATTTATATTGTTATTGTTATCACTATTACATTAGAGCCCACTTGGACCCCTTGGTACAACCGGGACGGCCCAGGTTTAACCGGAGACAATGAACAGATATTGGCAATATTAGATGTAAGTTTTCCATTCGTTCTTACATCATATATTCACTGAGATTGAGTGTTTACGTTTTATCTACATAACACATGAAACTAAGTTGCCACCTTAAGTTCTTTATTTATATATCCATTAATTTATAAATCTAAATGTTATTTACAGTAAAGCACATGATATGCAATCATATCACATTATACAAGTTACACATAATAGATTTACTGAGATTAGTGTTTACGTTTTGAACCTATATAACACATACCAACAAAACTAAACTAAATTGCCACCTTAAATCCATAATATAGGCCTTATCGATTCATTCATAAATCAAAATTATATTTACAGTAAAGCACATAATATGCAATTATGAATATTCTAGTCAGACACATATACAAGTTACAAATTCCCAATAAACCTTTTTTCTTACATCATATATACACTGAGATTAGAGTGTTTACGTTTTATCTACATAACACATGAAACTAAGTTGCCACCTTAAGTTCTTTATTTATATATCCATTAATTTATAAATCTAAATGTTATTTACAGTAAAGCACATGATATGCAATCATATAACATTATACAAGTTACACATAATAGATTTACTGAGATTAGTGTTTACGTTTTGAACCTATATAACACATACCAACAAAACTAAACTAAACTGCCACCTTAAATCCATAATATAGGCCTTATCGATTCATTCATAAATCAAAATTATATTTACAGTAAAGCACATAATATGCAATCATGAATATTCTAGTCAGACACATATACAAGTCACAAATCCCCAATCATGTTTACTTTATAAATTTTCCATCATAAACCTTTTTACACAAATAGGAAAATCCGACAACAATGTGTGCGAACCCTGTAGGAATTGAATGCCAGACCGTATCCGGCGAACCATATACAACACCTGGTGAAAATGTTACTTGCTCCACCTCTCTTGGTTTCGAATGTTTACGAGAACTAAATGAAAATCCCTGCTCCGATTACAAAGTTCGTTTCTTATGTCCAGGTTAGTCTCATCTTCAGTCTCTATCATTTTAACTAATCAATTTTCATGTTTATTTTTGTCATCCTGGGCTATAAAATATAATGCAGAGCTCATAAAATTAAGTAATCATGAGAAGAGTTGTTTAAAATACTTGACGTGTTTACATAAAACCGAAAAGTGAAAAAAATAGTAAAACATTTACTTCATATAATTATATTCTAAAATGTGCATGCTTTACAATAATAAAACTTATTGTTGGTTATTAATCTTCTTTTATATTGACAAATAAAGTTTAGTGTCAGTATTAGCACACCTAAGAAACAACTTTAATCATAACAGTGAGCGGTTACATCATCTACTTAGCAATTGTTGTTAACAAATTTTAGAAAAATTGTACACTTTACTTGTCAGATGTTGTTAAACTTTTCTCAGATAATAAACGAATATGAAAATAATAAAATAAAAAATATCAAACTTGATCATGTTTGACGAGCTTAATGATTTTATTTTATCAAAATAGAGTCACATAATGATTTATTTTGACACTTAACAGTTTGTGTCAAGTGAAATAAGATGAAGCTGTTGTCTTCTCAAAGCTACGTTTAGGAAGTACAGGTCAGGTTTCTATCTTTGTATGATTTCTGACTTGTTTGGTTCGTTGCTAAAGATTTCAAGTATTCTTACTCTTGTTTTTGTTTTTTTACATTAGGCGCTTTATAAATGCATGATATAATTATCTCCAAAAGAAGGAGGTTACATTTGGGAGGTCATTTAAAATCCCAGACTAAATATCTTAAAAACTAAAAAAATGATCTAATTGAAGCTTTTGGAATGGTTTTTCGTAGTCCAAGGAAAAGGTTCTTGGTGACGAACCGAGTATGGTGTGGATATGAGGACACTATATGGTAATTGATGCGTTGCTTGAGGAATGCAATGGCCTAGCGTCATTGCAAAACTGATATCAAGTAAATAAAATTAGTAGATTCACAATCGAGAGATGGGGGGAGACAACTTATGATTTGATCTGTTATTAAGTGTTATTGAGTTTGAGAGAGCCTTTTTATATAGAGGGCCTAAATAAATTTACTATACCCCTTCATACATTTTTGGTACACATTCTTTACTAAAATATATAGAGAAGCGTGTATATGTCATCAATTATGTTAACAATTTCAACATTAATATTTTCAAATGTTTAGCAAACCTTGAGCGAAGCACTACAGAAGCTACACAGAGAGCTACAAGTAATGGTACGTGAATGTTGTTGAAAAATGTATTACTCATAACTGTCCATTGTATTACACAATATCTTGTTGAAAAAAATCGTGTCAATAAGAACATCTTAAGGAGTACAAGCTTGGCCCCATTACTTAGTTGAAACAGCAAGCGAACGGTAATCAGTTCTTGGTAAAATATATTGTCATCGTTATTTACGACATATTCCTCCAATCGGATTTGATTTTCTAACATCGTTTAAAAATGTATTTACATTTATTTAAAGCATTAGCACAAAACGACGCTGTTATATATCATTAACCATGAACCTTAATTAGTGGTGGAAAAAATACCTCTAGCTTGGTTCGAACATGCGATCTCTTTAAACCGTAACAGTTAACTAGAACATTTTATGTATTTGAGTACATATTACCATTACACATATTTATTATGTGTCGAACACAGACTGGCATCAACGTTTGGTGTTGCGACAAACAGGATCTTTCTGCTATAAGAGAAAGAAGAGCAAGAAGTCTATTAAGATCTGTTCTAAAGAACATGCATAAAACGGTAAGCGAATAATACACTACCAGTGGCGGACCGTCAAGGCAAGCAAGGTATGCAGTACATACCCTGGCTAAAACAAATATAAACGTACAGTTTCTCTGTTTTATTTAGCATTTCTTAGTTAGAATCTTCTATATAAACCTTAATTTTACGAATGGATTGCTATAGTTTGGTATGCTATCGAGGATATAACTCACAGTCGGGCCTATCGCATCGTACTCTCAGCTTCTTAGAATTTCCGCATGGCTGATTTTCAATACCAGCAAATCACGGATTCAGTGCCCAATGGGTGTCAGAACATAGGCCTACCCTACAACACTTAAATTTGCTATTTTCACATTTGTTTGTCTTTCATTTTTAATTCTAAATTTATTTTATATGTTGCTTTTGTTTGATATACAAGTTTTTGATTCTTATTGGCCTGTTTGAATTTTTATCAATTACGTTAATTAATTTTCTGGGTTTTGTTTAGCATAAAAGTTCAACATATTATTTCTAATTGTTTCTTTATACGCCTATTTTAAATTTACTTTACTGTCTGTAAAAATTGTTAATTTGGATGCAACCCTATTATTGTTGTGTGTGCCACCTATCTTAAGGCGTTATTCCTAATAAATTGATTTATAGATTGATTGACAACCGTGTGATGGCGTCAGAATATCCAATTTAACACTGGAATGTAAACGGTGCTTCCAAGAGTATGTGCGCATGCTCTTTTCACAAATCGGGACCTCCACTGCCGATCCGGTATTCTATCGATAGTATCGATAGACTTAATCTCAATAATTAAAGTTTAAATTAATTAAATATAAAGAATAAATTAAAGAAAAGAAAAAACTGAATTAAAATTTGTTAAAATACAGGAATTGGAATTATTTTGAAGAGAAGATACTACAACCATGCCGGTATTAAAAATAACATACCGGTACATTTGTATTTTGACTATAGAATGCAATCTGATTCTGTATAGTAGTAGGCTTACGAGCTTTTCCTAGTAGTAGGCCCTAGCATCAGTGGCCTAGGGGTCCGAGCAATGGAGGGGGGCTGATGGGATTGGGAAGAAAGTAGGAATCGGTGATTAGGTGAGGGGACTAACTCGCAAAATAAAGTGATTTGAGGTGATTTTTAACTACTTGAGCATGATTTGTGGATGGGGCGCGACTAGTGGATGGGCGAGTATTTTTTTTCATGGGGAGGGGTGCACGCCCCTCGCACATCCTAGATATGCCAATACCTAGCATACCCTGCAATTTACTCTACGGTCCGCCACTGTACACAACGCTTGAGGATTTAGTGGCGGCGCTAGTGGGGATCCAAGGGGCACTGGACCAGTTGATAATTTCGTCTTGGGACATTGCTTAGAAATGGCGGTGATTGCCATTTTCGGGAATCTACACGTGTCCATTTATGCTTTAATTATGTCCAATATCAATGTTGGGATAAGAAAATTAATTGTAGGAATATTATAACATGTAAAGGGAGAACACAATAAGCTTTGTTGTGAGATTTTACCATTTGTTTCTACGTTGTTAGACATCACTCAACCCCAAAAAGTGTAAGTTTAGTGTTAATCATTATTGTTGTGATCTTAATGCCATTCTGTTTAATTCTTTTTATAATACAGACTGCACAACAATGCAATTTGCTCTTCAATGCTCTTCAACACCTATGTTAGAATTGGTTTGATCAATTGATTTGATCGTTCTTTAAATTATCAGCACTGCCACCGACCTTGGGCTATAGCAAGTTACTTATAGAATTAGATGGATTTTGTCAAACATCAAAATGGTAGTAATGAAAATGGATATTGAGGGCGTGCTGCTACAATCGTTTAACCGTTTTCCCCTTTAGAATCTATAGAACAGCCAGTGGATTATTAAACACAATATATTAAATGCACAACATGCGTTTGTTTCTTGTGTTATTAGAAACACTCCTCATAATGTAACGATACCATCATTCACACTGTATATATTTTTCGTCTCCTCAACACCCTCATTCTATTAGAATTCCAGTTGCAATAGGGCCTATCTGTAGCCAGCTATTTGGACTGTCGGGACAGTCCCGCTTGATCTTTCGTCCTCAGTTTTTAAACCTTGCCTTCAAAATATATAAGTAAATAGATTAATTTATACATCTGAAGTTGGACCATTCTTAAAAAGATGGGTCTATTTTATTTAAATTTGATACTCAAAATAGCTCCAATTTTTTTTAATGGTTCATTCAGTTTAAATACGCATAAAATTGGTCCACTCTTTAAAATGTGGGGGCACATAGTTTTAACTATAATGGGTCCCATTAATTTAAGCTTTGTCTACACTATCAAATTTCATCAAAAAGGCATCACATAAAATTTAATGGAACATAGAGTTGAACACGTTCAACTTTTTTTTAAAATACAATTTGATGATATGGGGTATGACGTCATCGTACTCATATATGGGCACATCACATTTTTTTGTGACACAAAATTTGATAGTGTAGACAAAGCTTAAGATGGTCGAAATTATTCAGCTTATACGCGAAAAATGGGTCCACTTTTTAATTGCCATGATCAGACCAGTGTTGGAATATTGCTGTACTCTTTGGGGGACTTGTTTAACTTAAGGAACAAAGTTCAGACCGCGAATCAATCCAAAGGACGGAATTGGGTATCGTGTCACCTGGTATTCCGTATGAAACAGCCCTTAACCTGCATACTATTCCAACACTCGGTGATCGTTGCCTCTCAC